GTTTCAATTAATTTAAATTATACAACAGCATTGTTTCTTGGGCAACTACGAGTAAATAGTGTCAGGATTCCCGCAAAATGCTTTTAAATTCCTAAATAAATCACAATAACAACACTGGTTTGTGCTCTGTTAACCATGAGTGAAACGCAGACAAAGCTGACAAATCTACTTAAAAGCCAAGGGACAATTAGTTGTTATTGAAACAAAGAAATACTCATGGGTGCAGTCACCTAATAGAAATTTCAATCAAAATTATGCATTTTTCATTCTAGCTTAATAGCAAGTTGACGCATAGATTCTTACTTAGGCGTTTTGGTTTCCAAGACAAAACTAGCTTGGAAGCAAATTTACTGGCAACGTGTTACAACAATATAGATCAGTACCAGGGATTACACATTCGAGAGTTTTGAAAGAAAGAGTCAAAAAATATCTACTTAACAGTGTGGCGGAATATAAAACTCGGAAATTATTAACGAAAACACAAGTGTTTAAACTTAGCATCAACTGCTAATAATTCATAAACTTACACTTCTCTCAGTTTTCGGTTATGGTGCTCAAGCTAATTTGACTCCTCTGTTCTGTTTGTTTTTTATATTTATTTTCAGACCTATCTTTGCACTTCGTTGGTTGTTTGTTATAAGATCTACATCTTCAGCATAATATTCGAGGCGCTTCAATCGTCGCCCTTCTATGTCGATGTCAGAGATTTTCTAGGTTAGTGATTTGGAGATATCCTCTAATGCCAGTGTGAACAATTTCATCGATATAGTCATTCTGTTTTACATTTACCCTGAGTTACATTCACCTGTTTTCTTTTAGTGTTCTTTCTATTAAAAAATCTGTTTTGTATTGAAATTGCAACCCATTCCTCCGCTCAATTTACTATTGTTGCTTGAAATCTCCATTTTAGGGAACTTTTACTTTTAATAATTATCTTATCTTTTTTTTTACTTAACTTCTATTAGGCATTTTTTCGTCTCTGCTGTCCCTATTTTGGTCAATATTTATGTCGTCTATCTTCAACTTTTTATAGATACATGCCTCTATTCTACTTTCGGCCTATCGTTTGCTTCAATATTTAGCCCTCCCTGTATAATTTATTTGATGATTTTTTTTGTAACTTTTCTCATGTTATAGAGCTCACTCATTTTATTTCCAATTTACTTCTTTGTTCGCGTTATTGTCAAATTATTCGCCTCACTGATATTTTCATATTCTAATTTTGAATTCTTGGCATTTAATAGAGGAACCGTTACAAATAGTAACGGTCGAATCTGATTCTTGTCTGGAATTTGTTGCCTGGCAAACTTTCCTCTGAAAACTAAAACTTGCGGCACTTCAAAGAGGGTGTCAAACAACATCCCTGTTTCCTTTCTCATCCTACTCGAAGTGTCTTTGGGGTTCAATAGGTTTATCCTATGCGGCTGAATTTCACTCTGAAATAATCTTTGTATATATTTCTGTTATTAAATTTTAAATGGAAAATCATTCCTAATTGTGGTTGTTGCAAATGAAAAAAGGTGTAGATATATTTATTTTCTATCTATATATTTATTTTGAAAAACATAGATACTCTACGACAGCCTTGAATGCGTGCCTGTTAATCCAAGCGAAGTCCAAAAAAATGCTGTGAGGTCCAATCGACACCAACAAACAAAAAAAGACACGTTATTTCACGAAAACGTCAGGAGTTTGAGGACGAAATCTGGGGAATTCTCACACGGTGTTGAGGCCTGGAACTATGACGTCATTTCACTTATGGAGACATGGCTGTATCTAGGTCATCCTAACGCAGAATATTTTTCGGAATGGCCACACAGTGTTTCGTCATGACCGAGACTATGATATGCTTGGTCTTCGACGTGGTGGGAGATCCTTGGTTGCGGTATCTTCAGATCTCAATGCATCCGCAATTAATTCACCTGCAACCCATACATCTTCGAAGAGGGCAACTTCGAAGATGTTTGGGTGCACATTGCTCTCCGTGGATATGATGTTGTGGTTGGTTGCGACCACATTGCCCCAAACTCTACAGGGTTGAGGTACTTCGAAACAGGTATCACAGAGCAGCGTTTTTGATAGTTGGGGACTTCAACCTTCCTCATATAGAATGGTGTCTTGAGGAATGCTTCCTGGTCCCAGCACAATCGAGAACCTCAGGTGAAAAAACCTTCATTGAGTCAATGTATTACTTAGAGTTGCAACAGGTCAATCATGTTAAAAATTTTCTGGGTAGGATCTTGGACCACATAGAAACTTACTCCGTTGAACAAAGCAACCATGCTTTGGTCAAGGGCGATCCTTACTATCCGGCCCTCGAGTTTACCTTTGACACCAGTGTGACGGAGACAGTGAGAGATAACTGTTCTGGAATCATGGCATTCAATTTTCATACAACTGACTGCAACGCTCTCAATTCTCACTTTTCCGATATGGATTGGTATTTCATCAACGAACCTTCGAACCTTGATGAGATAGTGGAAAATTTCTATCGCATTGTTTATTCTGCCCTTTATAGATTTGTGCCTAAACGAGCCGTCGCAGATAATAGGTATCCGACGTGGTATAGTACTCCACTAAAAAAACTTATTAGTTCCAAAAACAAGTACTACGAAAAATACAAATACTCATCCAGGAATCCTTACGATGATACGATTTATTCAAACCTGCAAAGAGAAGTGAAATATCAAATAGATCTTTGCTATTGCTATTTATATCGAACATGGAGCATGTACTACCTACAAATATCAAGCTTTGGTCCTACGTCAACTCCCTAAGAAAGGACTCAGGCATTCCGGCTACGCTCGAACATAATGGGCAAGTTTTTGCTGACAATCAGGCCATTTCCGATGCTTTTGCCGCCAACTTTCAATCTTGCTACACAGACTACAAAGGAGCGCCGATCCAGGAAGATTTCAACATACCCTTTGTCTCTACGCTATCCTCCTATGGCTTCCTGGAAAATAATATCGAATCAAAGCTAAAGCAATTGGACAGCTCCAAAAGTCCAGGTCCTGCTGTTTCAAAAATGTCACCGTTCCAATTCAAAACCTCTGTGCAAATTATTTCAAAGATCTTTCAATCAGGGTTACTTGCCGAGTGCTGGGAAAAATCAACAATTTTCCAATTTTCAAATCTGGCGACAGGAAAGACGTTCGCAACTACAGAGGAATTTCCCTATTATCAGCTATCCCCAAACTACTAGAGGCCATCATTTCAGAGAAGACCTTCGAAACATATAAGTACCACAATGGACGAGTCGCATGGTTTTTACCAGCGTCGATCTACAGCAACAAGCCTGGCCGTTTATCAAAACTACCTGGTCCAATCACTGGAGGCTGGTCACAGAGTCAACGTCGTAGGGTCTGTCATCAGCTGCTCCTTATGAAGCTCTCCAGGATGGGCATTTCAGGCTCTATGAGGTGCTGGATTGAGTCGTACCTTAGCGAGCGCAGGCAGTATTGTACTGTGGGTGGGGCAGCATCCCGGGAAATTAAAGTCCTCTCCGGTGTTCCCCAGGGGTCACACATAGGTTCAATACTATTCCTCTTGTTCGTCAATGATGTGGCCAGCTGCTTCAACAATGCTCAGTTTCTTCTGTACACCGATGACCTCAATTTTTTTTCGAAAACGGGTCCACATGTCAAGCGGATTTGGACCGGCTTGTTGCATAGTGCAGGAACAATTTTTTGAAATTGAACGTCAAGAAGTGTAAGTCAATGCAGTTTTTCAAGAACCGGACTGTCCAGCCTTTTTGCTACAATATCGAAAACCAGATAATCGAACATGTTAGCGTTTACAATGATTTAGGAGTGATCTTTGACAGTAATTTAACTTTTGAGAACCGCATTGAAAATATTGTAAACAGAGGATTCAGGATGCTGGGCTTTGTGAAGCTTAACACAAAGCATCTACATGATACCCAGGTGCTTCATACTCTTAACAACTGTCTGGTGCGCAGCATCCTTGAATACTGCAGCGTGATCTGGTCTCCTTTTTACAACTGTCACAAACAACGGATTGAAAGAGTTCAGGCCAAATTTGCTAAATATCTCCTGTACAAACATCACTTTTCCTATGAAAACTTCGACCACAGCATTAGGCTCCTCCTATGTGGCCTGAAATCATTGGAATAATCAGCTGCTACTGTTTCTTTATAAGCTTGTCCGAGGATAATAACCTGTAGTCCTCTGCTTTCCGAAATCAGTTTTCGTGTGCCAATTCGATAAAACGGGCAAACCCAGCTCTTTTTTGTGGCCCCTCACCGAACAAATTATGGCTGGGGTGCATTTGTTGACCGCACGATGAGCAGCTACAATGACCACTACGCAGCAATCGACTTGTTCTCAGCTAGTCTCCACACGCTGAGACGTTTGTTGTAGACATTCATTTTGGTTTTTAATTTATTTTATTTCGCTGTTCTCTATGCTTTGTGTTCATTGTTCTCATTGTTTGTGATAGCTTATACAGTTTTAACATTGACGAAGTTTTAGGTTTAATTTTAATTTTTGTTTTATGTACAACTTTTTATTGTTATCAATATTTTAAATGTACCATTTGGAGTTTAACTCTGTAGTGTACCACGCTCAATAAATAAATAAGTAAATAAATAAGTATAAAAACACCGATTACCCAATACCAACATCATTTAGAAAATAGATTAAATTTTTACAATAAAATAAAAGATTATGTAAAAATAAATTAGTTACGTTACTGGCAAATCAAAATCACTTAACGCTACATACCTAACCGCTACAGCACGAATGAACAATAAAGATATTAAGCTCTTTTTGTCCTCTTCGTGTATCAATTTGTTAGACGCGAAATACCAATTAGGTGCCTCGTGCATGAATTTCCGTTTCCGCATTTCTCTTTTTGTCCTTAAGTGAAGACCACTTAACAATGGCCGATATACCAACATGTAATGTTAGTTGGTTAATTAATGGCTTTTTCAATATCTCTTCAAGCCAAAAACTAAAGGTATTTTTGTTTTGTTTCAGGCGACAAACAGCTGAAGAACGCGAAGCTGAACGACAAGCAGCTAACAGACTAATGCTTTCGCTCCAGGCAGAAGCATTGAGTAAAGGATACATGACCGAAGGACCTTCATCAGCTGCACCTCCTACAGATACAGCTTTAAGTGCTTTACAAAATTTACAACCTTGGGCAGGTCCTTATAGTGCACCTCAGCCTGCTTTGGCTGAATCGATGTGTTGAATTCATTTGGCCATAAACCTAGTGAAAGTGCCCATTTTAGATCTCTATAATTTTTCTCAGACCTCAGACGAGGATATTTGTGTTTGACTTTCTGAATAAAGTGATTATAGAATGATCGCACTATGTACAGAATTATGCCGCTTTAAAAAATAATCAGTTGTTTATAGAGATCCGTTCTGTTTTTAGTTAAGGTCCTGTATTATTATTGGTTCTATGTATAGGGATGTGTATGTCAAACACACAGTGATTATTTTTTGTTAACTGAACAGAGTCAAAACTTTGTTTTTTTTGTAAGCAAAAATTGTACAATGTTTTAAACTATTATAAATCATCAAGTAAATTGTGCAATAGACATTTTGTTGGTGTAGCTTAAAAAGAATATTTTGAGCCAATTTTTGTAATGTTCCACTTAAAATCCTGCATTATCAACAACAAGAAAAAATATAGTTAAAAACGCCCACGTAATTGTAAATAGGATTGTTAATTATAAAAATACAAAGAAACTATATAATATATCGTTCCGTGACGAGAAACCGTACTTCAAACAACCAACTAATTTCCGAGCTGTAAATAATTACGGAAAAGTAGTGTGATTTGAATTGTAGATATAAGTTATTATTGTAAGCACACAAGAAAATGTTGTATTGAAAAATAAAAAAAAATGAGCCACTATTACTACTTTGTTTGATTGGCCAGGAAGGTGCATGGTATGGCATCATGCAATTTGTTCCCTTGGGAGATTCATTTAATGAGGGTGGTGAATAAATATGGCAGTAAATAGAGCGAAATGGAGTAAGGAAATGTTTACTTACTGTTGTCAAGCAAGTACATCGAAGGATCAAAAAAAATTTGAATGATGAAGTATTCATCAAATCAATTTAAGTTTTATTGAAGGACTCATACATTTTTGCAGATATTTGAAAAAGGATTCTTATAGATGATGGTGCGGATATTTCGGAATCAAGAATTTTTGAATGAGCTAAAAATACTCATCGCTCCAAGCAAATTCGTTTGTGTTTGCATCATTACAAATTTGTTCCTTACTTTTTCAGGTCGAAAGCGCTTTGCATAATTGAAATTGCACTTCAATACAACAAACTTCCAAAGTGTACACAGCCCATAAAAAATCTCTCAAATAAATATATGACTGAAAAGGAATTACAAATAATAAAGCTTATAACAATAAAAATTGGCTCTTTCAGTAATTTCGTAATTTCTAAAATTGGCATAATTGGATAAAGCAACTAAAAATATAATTTTCTGCGCCATTAGTTTTGAAAAACTTGGAGTCCTTGTTAAGAAAATAAATAACAAAGAAAACTCTAAATAAAAACACGGAATCTAACAGCACTACGTCACAACTTGTATTTTGACAGTGTTGCCACTCATTGTCAGCACTGAAAATTTGTTATAAAATTTAGGCTTACTACCAATTCAATTTAATACCATTCAAGAATTTGTAAATTTTTTTTTGAGTTATTATCATTCACAATTTAAATTTATTTTTTGTTATCAGTTTTAACTTTTTTTCTCACGACGCACTACATTTAGTCACAATTGGCAACAGCGCAGTCAGTCACCGGCCACCGGAACAGCTGTTCGTGCTGCTTCGCTGATAGAGTGTCTTCTTAAATTTGATTGGTAGAAGATGCTAATGCCGCTAATACGTCATCGTCTGATGCGTTATAAGAATTTTACATTTTTCCATTTTGGAAGAAAACTTATTTAGGCTCGTAGATACCTATATATATTTTTTTTTGCAAATAGACCTAAAATAGTTTCTCATTTGAGATTTTATGCTTAAATTACGTATTTAAATTTTACTGAAAGAGCCCATTAAAAATTGGAAGTCGCATTTTCATAATTATATGTTTTTAAGATTTATATAACAGTTACTACATCAAATTTCGTAAGAAAAAAAACTAAATAGTTAGTTAGTCTACCACATAATAACACCATAATAATATTCGTTAGGGCACCTGCACCTTATTAGATCGTGACTAAAGATTATTAAATCAAATTCACCTACTACCTCTTAATTTTTTTTTTTTTTTCGAAACTGATAAATCCAAATGCCATAGTACACGAAGGAAACGATTCAAGATTTACAGTAATTTTGAAATTAAGTGCACGCAGATCACCCGAAAAAAAAAAACATGTCAATATTAAAACCGACAGGTTTTATGCTTGATTAGTATGAATTATTTTAATATATGCTCATTAAAACACTTGGCTGTAATTTAATTTTTTTCAATGAAGTTTAGGTAAAAAATGAATGGCCTGTTTGCAAGGAAAGCAGGAACAAACGTATTATGAAATATTTTAGAAGCATTAGAAAAAATTTGAAATAGACTCTACCTAAACTAGCAAACATGAAAAATTTTACCCAAATTCAAATCTCGATATTTTCGGAACGGGAAGAGATATCGAGTTGCGATATTCGGAAGATTCTTCACCAACTCTTTGAGAACACGTACAGGCACTTTGGGGCTAAGACGTCAGATCCTCAATTTTTGATCTTGGAAATTTTTCTATGCATCTTTTTGATCTTTGGACTATCCTAGAAAAAGGCATTTCTCAAATTTTTCGAAAGTTGGCTATAACTCAAATTATCGAATTTTCAGAAAAGGGTTAGATATATTTATCCCCAAAAAAGGGACTTTTTCGGGTTTTCTCATGAGAATGGTTATTTTTTCTCTTACTGTTGCATAAAGTGGAATTTCTTGCGCCCGAGAAAGGATTGAAGTACTCATTGAACGGTATTGCCTTCAGTTGTGTGCAGAAAAAATTTGCTACTTTGGCATTACGTAATTTAAACTGAATTTATCAATTACACTATGCAATTAAACGGCTCAATGAACAAATCCAAGTTGCTACGTGGGATGTATTCCAGTGGCATAACACCAAGAGCATTTTTTGGTTTGTTAAGAAGTGTTGAAATGCTATGATACGACGGCGCTGAGCTGCTTTTTTTGTAATATAATTTACTCTCCTATCTGTAAATTTACAGTTGTATCTGTGAATTTACACTTGTATCTGTAAAGGACGAGGCACTTCTCTTATAGAAAATGGATCCCCGACAGATTTTTCTGAAATTTGAATATGTTGTAGTTTTTTGAACTCTGATTAAAAGTCATCATTGACTGAACCTCGTGCGGTTGATAGTTTAGCCTCCAGAGGGCGCCAAAGTTTCATATAACCCATATAACTAATGTAACTTGGGTGTAATTGGGTAACTTCCCCTCACAGAAATAAGGATTTTAGTGTCTGAAAAATCACTTTTAATAATATTTGGTCGTTACTTTTGCGATATTTATACAAAACATCTTTTTTTTTTTTTAGTGGGGAAGTCGTCTGATTAAACTCGAAGTAGCGCTGCAATCGGAGGCTTATTTTGCTGAATCTTACTGCTTACTGCACCCATTCCAAAACCCTGGTTCCCTGCAGTAGGCGAAGTAGTGCTGTTGGATGTTTGCCGTATGTGTCTGGATCTAGTTCATCTTCCCCAAATATATTTTGTCTTCTGCGAATTAATGCATCGTATTCTGATATAATATGTTGGGCTGTTTCGGTCTCTGTTCCGCATAGTATGCAACTCGTGTCTCCGTTGTACAAGCCCATTGTTTGCAGGTGCTTCTTTGCTGGGGCATGCCCAGTAAAAAAGCCGGTTGCTACTTTGAGTTGATTCTCGCTTAGTTGTAGCAGTCTTTTTACTCTTTTGCTGCATGTCTCACGTATAAACATTTTCCCATGTGCATGCTTGAGTATTTGCTTCCAGTATCGAGCATGTTTTGTTTTGATCTATTCCTTCAGCTCCTTTCTTACTATGCTTTTCGGCACTCCGAGAGCTGGTTTGGGACCAAGGCATTCTGTGGATGACCCCCTGTGTGCAAGTTCGTCAGCCTTCCCGGGATATTGAGGTATCCTAGCACCCACATCAATGTGACGTTATTTTGGTCCGCCAAGTTGTTGAGTTCTTCTCGGCATGCTATTATCAGTGCAGAGTTTGCCTTAGGGTTCTTCAATGCCCCCAGTGCTGCCTGACTTTCTGTGAGTGAAGTGAGTCTCTTGTCTTTGCAGGCCCTCATATTGTTGATTCTTGCGAATTGTAGTATTGCAGATACCTCTCCCTGGAAAACAGATGTATATGACCCTAGAGAGAAGAAGGTCTCGCATCTTCCTTCTTGACTGTAGATTCCTGTGCCTGTGCCATTCTCAGTCTTTGACCCGTCCGAGTACCAGATCTGGCCTTTGAGATTGGAGAGTGCACGTTGGTTTTCTCATTCCTCTTTTTAACTAATTAAGACTTGAAAAGATGATGTCGGGTGAGTATTTCGGAACTGCATAGTCAGTAATCATGTCGAATACTGTTAGATTTATGGCTTCCCTTATTTGTGTGTGGCTTGATCTGACTTAGTTTGCTCAGGTTGTTTCGTTGTTTGTGGAGGCCCATCCTAGCTTCCGGCTGAATCATAATGTGTAGCGGAGGTAGGTCTAGTAGGACTTTCACAACTACTGTTGGTGTGCTTTTCATGCACCCTGTAATGCCCAGAAAGGAAAATTTTTACACCCTGCCGAGTCTCATTCTGGCTCTGTCCTGTTGTGTCTTTGTCCATCGTATCAAAGACGCATAGATTATTGCTAGCTTTACAACCGCTGTGTTATTTAGTTTGAGTCCCAATGATAATAATATAAATGTGGCAGAAGAGGTTACTGTATAAAGGAGTTAGTTTGTCTTAAAAATGAATTCGATTTCGAATATCGGCATCAGCATAGCTTTTTTCCAAAAACATCCACAATAATAATACAATTGCAGAAATGTCAAATAAAGACAAAAAACAAATAGGCCAACCAACATAACTTTGTAGAATTTCGTTTATATTTGGATATCTTCAGAACGAATCGAATTATTGAAATTTCGATGCGGCATTTAATTGCGCACCTAATTTATTGTGTTTATCTCTATCTTTTACCTTTTCTAAAATTCACATGTAACTCATATTATCCAGGACACCCTGTATGGTATTGAATATCGCTTACATACGTATCTTCCATATTTTTGAAAACTATATGTAGATATATTTGTGCATGTCAAGAGTGTTACCAAAAAAAAAACGACTCTTGGGTTTTTTCAATTATCGATACTACTTACTTCAACATGGCAATCTCAAAATCTTATACCTACTCATTTGAAAAAATTATGGATTATAGGTATTTGATCTCGTCATGACTTCCATGCTAATTGTTTTGGTTTTCTCTAAAACACTAATATTCGTTCGTCGGTCTTGCCATTCAATCCGTAGGATCCTTCTTAGGCAGCGCTCTGGTGGTATTTTTCTAGGCTTTTTATGTTTTTTCTGTAAGTGGTCCATTTTTCGCAGCCATATGTGAGTGTTGCTGCATTGTAGACGCGAAGTTAGGTTTCAGCGCTGATGTCGTGATTGTTGAAGACTCTCTTTTGTTAATAATTGCCTGAATATCTTCCCCTGAATTGGCCATCACGAAGTTATCATCCGCATATTGAAGTTCAATTATCGATACTTTCA